AAAGGTTTTCATTGTTAAGACATATTAAAAATCATATGCTCAAGTTATTAACTTACAATATTCAGTGACCAGAAACTAAAGTATATGTTTAATTAGCAATTAATACAGAAAGAGACAGTTGTCATAGATCTCTTTGAAATTCTGCTTTCCTACTCATTTTTACTCTAGAGCGAAACCAAGAATTTGGAAGGAAACCAAACCTCTTGATAATAATGAATACATTCATTCCTGAAATATGTATTATCGACTAAGGCTAAATACTAAAATTCACTTCTTGTTGTGTGTTCTAGAGTCAGAATTGACCCCAACTCACCCTCCATAGGGTTTTTGGAGGCAATAAATTGTGTAGAAGGAGTTTTCTTAGCTTTCTCCCACACAGCAGCTTGCAGATTGGGACCGCCCGCTTTTTGGACTGGCAATCAAATTCCTTATCACTAAGCTACCAGAGCTCCTTTAAGATTCACTGTTGTTGCTGTTGAGTACTGCTGAATTGAAACAGCCCACAGTTGATTCTCCAGTTGTTTTCAGAGGCACTTAATTGCACAAGAGGAGACTGTCCTCTTTCTCTCATGGAGCAGCTGGTGGATCCAAACCATGTGCCTTTGGGTTGGCAGTATAATTCCTTACCTCTAAGCCACCAGCACTCACTAGGATTTACTAGAGAATAAAAATATCAACGATCTCTCTACTAGTGAGGCTTCCATTCTCCTGGTATGGTAGTGATAGTGAAGATGCAGGAGGAGCAAGTAACAATACAGGAAGTATTCATATTATGCACGAAATCTGTTACTGTCATTAAGTAGAATCTGTAGATAAAATGTAACAGATCATAGGAGTATGCAATGAGGGTTGTAGAGTGGATTATATTTGGGGCTAGGGGGTGGGGTTTGGGGAGGTGTGTGGGGGGATTGTGTACCAATGAGGGAGTTTTTCTTTTGCTTTTCAAGGAGAGGAGCAAATGGGGGGGAGGGGGGAGGGGTTTGTGAGGGGAGAAGGGTGCAACAATGAATGAATGGAATCCCAAAATCTCTGTAGATGTTCATTGAAATGAAAAATAAACAACCTAAATTTTAAAAAAAAAGAAAAAAAGGAAAAAAATTAAAAAATGTAACAGATGCATACAGCTCTTATTTAGCTTTATTTTAGTGCAAGAAAAGGAGACACAATGCACAGTGGATTGGTGGCTTCAATCAATAAGCTGTTCTGCAGAAGAAAGATCAGGCAGTCTGCTCTGAAAAAGATTTACAGCTTCAGAAACCTGATGGAGGGCCACTATGAGTGGCAATTGACTCAATGGCAGTGCATTCAGTGGATGTTCAGAACCATTTTTCCTTTCAAACTGCTCATTAATAAATGACACCATGAGTAACAAAGTCATTGAAGCCAGGAGCTTACATGTAACCCTGGACACCTAACAGGAAAGAAAATAAAACAAACCTACTGACATTGAGTTTATTCTGACTAGTAGTAACCCTCCATTGAGTTTCTGAGGCTGTCAATCTTTGTGGGTGGCATATCTCCCACAATGTTGCTAAGAGATTTCATCTGCTGTCCTCCTGGTTAACAGTCCAGACATGTTATGCCTCCTAAGCCCTACTGCAATACAATCACTGGTGACCTCCTCGAAGGTTACGGATTAAATGGGACTGATCAGAACCTTGTTTTTACTCCCAAGTGATTGTAATGTGCATCCAAGATTAAGAACCACTAGTCTTTTCATTTATTGTCCACATTCAATTAAAAAAAAAAAGAAACCATACCTATGCACATCAAAAAACTTTCCCAAAAGAATAAGAAGGAAACCTACAGACTGTTAAAAAAAATACTTGATAATCTGTTAAGAGAATTATACCTAAAATTTATAAAATACTCCAGCACCTCAACAAGAAAAAGGCATAGTGGACTAATGGCAAGAAGCTGCATTATAATCCCAAAGACGTGCAGTTCAAATCCACCAGATGCTACACTGGAGAAGGAGGGGCAATCTCCTGGGCCAGTCAATCAGATTTGACAGGACACAAAACAAACAAAACAAAAACCAAGAAAAAGGTAAACAATTCAATCACAAAATGGACACAGAATATGAATAGACACTTCACCAAAGTGGACATTAAGATGGCAAACAAACATGAAGAAATGTTCAAAATCCCTAGCTATCAGAGAGATGCAAACCAAAACAACTATAAGGTATTATCTCACCCCAGCAACAATAGCAAAGTTGAACAGGTCTGTAAACAACAAATGCTGGTGGGTTTGTGGAAAGATTCAAACTCTTATTCACTGCTGGTGGAAATGTAAAATGGTACAACCACTATGGAAAGCAGTCTGGTACTTTTTCAGAAAACTGGAAATAGAAATACCATTTGACCCAGCAATTCCACTAATGAAAACATACCTTAAAGAAACCAGAGCTGCGATTCAAATTTATGTATGCACACCCATGTTAATTACTGCGTTATTCATAACAGCAAAGAGATGGAAGCAATCCAAATGCCCACCAATAAACGAAATGACAGAAAAACTATGGTACATCTACACAATGGAATACTACACAGCTTTGAAAAACAATATAGAACTAAAACATTATACAACTGGAGGAGCCTTGAGGACATTATGCTAAGTGAAATATCTCAGTAACAAGAGGATAAACACTGAATAATACCACTGCTAGAAAATAGGCCAGACATGGGAGGTTAGAGAATGAATGGGTAAAGAGCAGATAGATAATGAACACTGCATTAGAACGGATGAAAGGAAGGACTGTTTGAAAGGAATATATTAATAAAGGATATTAATAAGAGATTATACATTATATGAATAAGAACTATCTGGAACAAGGGGTGCTTTGTGGGATGGGCTCAGGGAAGGGGAGGAAAGACGAAGAAAACGTGAACATGAATAAATAAGAGAACAAATTGGGGCATTATAGTTAATATTGTAAAGCAGACAGCCATTACAGTACATTGAACTCCATAGAGACAGCGCTGGGCCGGGCAGAGCCGGATGGCACTGGGCGACTCTGTGCCTCGTGGACAAGAAATAACTAACCATGGGCAAAGGAGATCCTAAGAAGCAGAGAGGCAAAATGTCATCGTATGCATTTTTCATGCAAACCTGCCAAGAGGAGCACAAGAAGAAGCACCCAGATGCTTCTGTCAACTTCTTAGAATTTTCTAAGAAGTGCTCAGAGAGGTGAAGACCATGTCTGCTAAAAACAAAGGTAAATTTGAAGACAGGGCAAAGGCAGATGAGGCCTGTTATGAGAGAGAGATGAAAACCTATATCCCTCCTAAGGGCAAAACAAATAAGTTCAAAGATCCCAATGTGCCCAAGAGGCCCCCTTCTGCTTTTTTCTTATTTTGTTCTGAGTATCGCCCCAAAATCAAAGGCGAGCACCCTGGCCTTTCCATTGGTGATGTTGCGAAGAAGCTGTGAGAGATGTGGAATAATACTGCTGCCGATGACAAGCAGCCCTATGAGAAGAAGGCTGCTAAGCTGAAGGAGAAATACGAGAAGGATATTGCTGCATACAGGGCTAAAGGCAAGCCTGATGGTGTCAAAAAGGGAGTTGTCAAGGCCGAGAAAAGCAAGAAGAGGAAGGTGAAGAAGATGAGGAGGACGAGGAAGAAGAGGAAGATGAAGAAGAGGGTGAAGAGAATGATGATGATGATGAATAAGTTGGTTGTAGCAGGTTTTTTTTTTCTTGTCTATAAAGCATTTAACCCTCCTGTACACAACTCATTGCTTTTAAAGAAAAAAAAATTGACACATAAGGCTGTGTAAGCTTTGTTTTTAAACTGTATAGTGTCTTTTTTTGTATAGTTAACACACTACCGAATGTGTCTTTAGATAGCCCTGTTCTGGTGCTATTTTCAATAACCACTAACCTTGCCTGGTACAGTATGGGGGTTGTAAATTGGCATGGAAATTTAAAGCAGATTCTTGTTGGTGCACAGCACAAATTAGTTATATATGGGGATGGTAGGGTGGTTTTTTTTTCTCATCTTCAGTTGTCTGATGCAGCTTATACAAAATAATTGTTGTTCTGTTAACTGAATACCAATCTGTAATTGCAAAAAAAGAAAGAAAAACAAAAAAAAAGTTTGCAGCTGTTTTGGTGACATTCTGAATGCTTCTAAGTAAATACAATTTTTTATTTTTATTTTTTTCTTTTTAAATTTTTATTATATTATTTTTACGTGTACCGTCAAATCAGATCTGACTGGTACAAGAGGAGATTGCCCCCTCCTTTTCCAGCAGAGCATCTGGTGGATTTGAACCGCATACCTCTGGGATTGCAGTGCAGCGTCTTGCCACTAGGCCACCAGAGCTCCCCCAATACAATTTTTTATTAAAAAATATTGTAAAGCAAGCTACTTATGAATGAATGGTTGAATAGAAAACAAATTTGTTCTGCAAACTGTCACTCAAATAAAAAATTTATAAAAATTAAACAAAATGAATTAACCTTAAAAAAATTAAAATTGCACTCTGCCATTGTTAAACCCCTAAATTTCTAGAGTAATTATATTGACAGTTAATGTCCCACTGTTTATTAAGTGCTGGGCATTGTTTTAAAACTTAATTTAATTCTCACAACTCTGTTAGGTCAGTGCAACTCATAGCTCAATTTACAAATGAAAAATTCAGGATACAATTGCCCCAGTTTTTACCATAAGCATCAGAGCTGAATTTTAAACCTAGGATGTCTGACTCAGAGCTAGTGCTTAGGTCTTCTCCAACTCATCTATGTTAAAGAAAGCCCAGCTCTCCTGGTCTCTTTAAAGTTATCCCTGACTAGTTCCTGTCCGAACATAGACTCACCTGAAACAGAGCCTCTCATACTCATTTAACCACTGTTAAAATTTATTCACTAAGAATCCCAGAGAGGCAGTGGGAAGAGTGTGGCTCTAATGTTGGTATTGTGATTAATGTCATGAACCAAAATGTGTATGAAAGCTTGAATGGAAAATCAATTTGTTCTGGAAACTTTTACTTAAATCTCAATAAAAAAAATTATTCTTCTTTGATTCTGAGATATTAGGAGCAGGTACTTTATATTATTCATACAGTACCAGACAACAAGCACTTTTTAAAAATGACTGACTGAACCAAGAAACTACTTCAAGAGTAAACAAACTCTCAAGTAATTTTTTCATCAATACATAATTAGAAAAATATATCTGGGGAGTTGATTCCTTTATAAATGCCCCTCAAAGCCTATCTCTTAATTCTATACTTTTCTACTGCTATCGTTTTGCACACTTACAATCAAGTTAATTGTAGACTGGATGCTTCTTTCAGGTTTTGAACTGGTTTGGAGTAGTCCTTTTGTGATCAACATAGGAAAACCTGAGGCCCAAATATTAAAAATGTGGGTTATCCAGAACACTAACAGGAATGGGAAACTTTATAGGTTTAATCCTTGGAATGGGAGACTCTAAAAGAGGTGGAGTGAGCCCTTTAAGGACCTTTACATAGGAGACTGGATTATCGGTAAGACTGTGGAGAGTAACATATATTCAAAGCAACAAGCTAAGTCACAATCTCTAAGCTAGACACACACCACTGTTTTCTACTTATCTGGTCAAGAAATTTGATTGCTATGCAGTGTGCATGCTGCCCTTGTTTTCTAAGACAGAGATTAAGTTTTTAACGGGCCTTCAGCTCCTGTTTTTTTCCTCATTCTGGTTAGTATTCCAGCTTACTCACATTTTACAAATTGGAGTCTGTTTTGGTGTTGTTTCACTGCCATGAGTGAACTGTGTTCAAAGACCAGTTCTGAAGGAAAGGGCTTTTCTCAAAACCAGATGCTTAGTAGTTAGAGAGAATGAGATAGGAACTCTCATACACTGCTGGTGGGATTGTAAAATGATACGACCACTCAGAAAGGCAGTTTGGCATTTCCTCAAAAAGCTGAATATAGAAATTTCATATGACCCAGCTATTCCACTGGTTGGAAGAGACCCTAAGAAAATTAGAACTGAGACACAAATGGAGACTTGTGCACAATGTACAAAATGTTTCTATCTGCAATAGTCATCATCACAAGAACATGGAAATAGCCCAAATGTTCAACCACAATCGACCAGACTGAGAAACTGTGGTACATTCACATGACAGAATACCACGCAGCACTCTGGAGCAACGATTTTGAAAATTAGTACATAACTTGGGAGGGACTGAAGAGTATTTATTATGTTGAGTGAATTAATTCAGTCTCAAAAAGACAAATAGTGTATAAGACCATTATTGCAGAAATAGATAATAAAATGTGTATGAGGATCCAAGGGGAGAGGGTAGGAGCAGAGGGGTGAGGATGAGCAGAGGGGAAATCAGAGGGTCTCACAATATGATAAGTAGAGGGAGGAGTAAAGGGAATGGGAAAGATGTCATGAGGATATGGAAAGACAGGCTAACGAGAGGCATAGTTCAATGCCGATTAACTTTATAAAATATGATGAATTGGAATGATTTCATGAAACACAACTTGAATGAAGGATACTGTGAAACATGTATACAAACTCTGTAAGCCAACCAATAGAAAACAAAACTCCAGCTGTTTACAGATCTACATAATTGACAAAATGGTTCCCCCTGCTGTCTGTGATAAGTAATACTCTAAAGTGACTGACAACATTTTCTCATCTACAATCAGGAGAAGATAAATGAGATGAATGGGACCTTCTAAGAATCAAATCCCTATGCACATTCAAAAACTTCTCCAACAGGGTAAAAAGGGAAGCCACAGACTGGGAAAAAGATTTGGTAATGACATGTCAGATAAAGGACTTACATCTAGAATTTATAAAATACTTGAGCACCACAAGAAGATAAAGGTAAATAATCCAATTGAAAAATGGGCACAGGATATGAACAGAAACTTCACCAAAGATGACATTCAGATGGCCAACAAGCACATGAAGAAATTTTCAAAATCCCTAGCTCTAGGAGAGATGCAAATCAAAACAACTAGGAGATATCATCTAACCCCAATAACAGCAGCAAAGTTCAGCAGGACAGCAAACAACAAATGCTGGTGAGGTTGTGGAGAAACTGGAAACCCTATTCCCTGTTGGTGGAAGTGCAAAATGGTGCAACCACTGTGGAAAATGGTGTGGCTCATTCTCAAAAAGTTACAAATAGAGATACCATTTGACCCAGCAATTTCACTACTGAGAATATACCCTAAAGAGACCATAACCGTCATCCAAGCAGATATATGCACATCCATGTTTATCGTGGCTTTGGTCACACTAGCAAGGAGTTGGGAACAACCCAAGTGCCCATCAACATATGAATGGATAGAGAAGCTGTGGTATATTCACACAATGGAATACTACGCTGTATTGGAAAAGAAAGAAGTCATGCAATATTATTCAAAATGGGTGACCCTGGAGGACATTATGCTCAGTGAAATATCTCAGTCACAAAAGGACAAATACTGCATGGTGCCACTGTTGTAGAATGGGTCTCACATCAGGGTTGGGGTAAGACTGAGAAAAACTGGATAAATTATGTATACTGCATTGAAACAGATGAGGGAGAGAACAGTTTAAAGGCGATATATGATAGGGTATTATGGTTATCACAAGAGTCCAAAATTAAGGTTGCATAGTGGAGTGTACTCGGGGTGGTAGGGGGGATGCGAGGGGATTGTATACCAAAGAATGAGTTTTCCTTTTGCTTTTCGAAGAGAAGAGTGGACTTCGAGGGGTGGGCAGGGAGAAAAGTTCAACAATGAATGAATGGAAATTCAAAATCTCTGTAAGTATTCATTAAAATTAATAAAATAAAAAACCCATTTTCTCCCATGAACACTTTCATCCTTAGCTCAGTATTTGAATAATTTCTTGAACGTAGAGATTTAAAAGAAATAGCTAAAATAAACAAGTGATTGGTTCTTCTTCTTAAAAACAAAACAGTTCTGTACTAGAACCCACCCACCCACTCCCTGCCACAGAACTGATCCAGATTCCTAAGGAGGCTGGAAGTCTGACAAGCCTTTCTCTTTGTGAGAGGCTGGTAGGTTCAAGCTGCTGATCTTTCAGTTAGCAGCCTAGTG